GACATAAATAAGCCCAGTGATGGCGCTAAAGATAATTCTATTTCCTGTGTGGGAAAAGGGGGCCTCACAGATTATTCCAGAAAGAGGAACCTCTTTGAAAAACAACATTATCTCTCTTGCCTCTCTTCCTTTCGCAGTCATAATGTGATAAGATATGTAATCTCTTTTGACAACTATGTGCTCTTTTGTGTTGGGTGTTTTTTACTTAGCAACCTTATATTGATGGTCATTTGTGTTTTTTCATGTACGCTGTAGCATTCCATTGACCACAATTTGTTTATCAATCTGCCTATTGATAGGCATTTGGACTGTGTCCAGGTTTGGTCTATGACAAATTAAGCTATTATGAACACCCATGTTTAAGACTTTATATGGACACAAGCTTTAATTTCCCTTAGGTAAATACCTAGAAGTGGAAAGGCTCAGTCCTATGAAAGAATTTTACATTTCAGAAACTGTCAAGATGAAAGAAAGAAAGAAAGAAAGAAAGAAAGAAAGAAAGAAAGAAGGAAAGAAAGAAAGAAAGAAAGAAAGAAAGAAAGAAAGAAAGAAAGAAAGAAAGAAAGAAAGAAACTGCCGAGTTGTATTGACAGGAACCCCAGTGAAATTGAAATTTAAAAAAGACTTAGGGGGTGCCTGGGTGACTCAGTATTTTAAGCGTCCGATTTCGGTTCATGTCATGATCTTGTGGTTTGTGAGTTTGAGCCCCGTGTTGGGCTCTGGACTGACAGCTCAGAGACTGGAGCCTCCTTTAGACTCTGTGTCTCCCCTTCTCTCTGCCCCTCCCATGCTCATGCTCTGTCTCTCGCTGTCTCTCAATAATAAATAAATAAATAAATAAATAAATACAAGTTGTATTGTCAGAGACTCCAGTGAAACACAATGGGATGACGAGACTTGGAATGGGGACATGATCATGAAAATGCCCCCAAAACCTGAATTCCCAGGTGTTCCTGTACCCTGTAAACTGGCAGAGGCTTTCTTACTTGCTAGAGAAAAATCTCTCCCTTGCTCTTGCTTTTGAGCTTGGAGAAGTGCAAGCATGATCCGCTTTTAAAAATACAAATTGGAATTCAAATTAAAAACATCTGTTCTTAGAAAGATGTTGATGTAGAATAAAAAGATAAGAAAAGGCTGGGAGTAAAGAGTTTTAAATCATATTTCAGATAAAGGTCTTGCATGCAAAATATGCAAAGACCTCTCAGCACTCAATAACCAGAAGACGAGCAATTCAGTTTAAAAGGAGGTGAAAGATTTGAATAGACACTTGACCAAATAAACAAACAATGATATGAAAAGCGCTCAAAACACAAGTTAAAATCACAATGAGATTATTTCATGTCTATTAGCGTGGTAAAATGAAAATGACTGGCCATACCAAGTGCTGACATCATTGTGGGCAAACTGGAATGTAAAATGATACAATCACTTTGGAAACTACTGTCTCTCTTCTGTAGCACCCTGAGTTTTGAGCTTCATGATTAGAGGTATGGAGGAGATCAGAAAAGAGACAGATTAAGAGTATCAAAGGGCATGAAAGGAGCCTGTTGGAAAACCACAGCTGTTTCCAGTAAATTAAGATGTAGTTGCTGTTGTCCATGGTAGGAAGTTGCAGAAAGCCCCAACAGTGGCCACACAGCTCCCCTAAAACTTAGGTCCCTGAAAATACAATATAAGACTTATTAAAGACATGTATCTGGTACCCTCTGCAGTTGTATTATCTTTAAAATTTAAAATTTGTGCTTGGTTTTTTATAGTCTGCTCTACGGCTGCGGAATGTATGTATTTATAAGTAATTTATGGAAGCTTTGTGACTTCCCTAGAGTGCATTGGATTGGTATTTAATGGACCTAAGAATTTTATTCATTTTCCTCAAGGTTTCTAATGCAATTTATATCACCAGCCAAGGCCACAATCCTTATCATTAGCATCCCATATTGCTCAAAGCACTAAAACTGCTTAACTCAAAGCTTTCTCTTCTTTCTGGACCTCATTCCCAGCTACTGCAGGCTGGAGTCTCAGGAGCAATATTACAGCATGCAAGAGACCATCATTATAAATGGGATCTTTATGATTAGCTGATTATGTAGATAGTTACTTCCAAAATCTGATAGACTTTATTCCTAGAGCCACTTCTGGTTCTAGTCTACTCATTTCCCCTAAAAGGAGCAAGGATTTCAGTGTACAGGGTTTATTGGCCAGCTCAGAAAGTTGTGAGAAGGAGTGGGGAGAGTAGACAGGAAGGGAGAAGGAAAGCCAAAAACAAGATGGTTAAATCCATCATTTTTGGCAATTGGGATTCGATTATCCAAATACCTCCCAAAAAGTGTGTAAAGAAACTCCCAGAACTGTCAGCTGAAAGCACTGGAGGCTGAAACATTTAGCCATCTTTTTGGGAGTGTGCATAAGCATTTAACCTTTACTGTGTGCTAATCTTGTGCAATTTATATATCTTACAAAAATTACCTCCAGGTTGATGGCCTTTGTTTTTCATCTGCATGGTTCTTTTTTAGGTACTAAATACTGTTTTTTAAAAAACTTTTTTTTGTTTATTTATTTTAAGAGAGAGAGAGAGAGAAAGTACATGCATGGGAGAGGTGCAGAGGGAGAGAGACAGAGAGAGAATCCCAAGCAAGTTCTGCATTGGCAGCACAGAGCCTGATGCAGGGCTCAAACCCATCAACCATGAGGTCATGATCTCAGCTGAATCCAAGAGTTGGATGCTTAACCGACTGAGCCACCCAGGCTCACCTAAAATATGGAATGTAAATAAAATATAATTATATAATGTATAATTTATCTATCTGTACCTATCTCTCTAAATATAATCTTCTCAATGATCTCCTCACATTCAAAACAAAAACTAAGAAAAATACCACTGACATTCATTTAACGACATTAAGGAAACCAAAGGTTAGAGAGGCTTTATTATTACCTCAGTTGCAGACCTAGTCATTGGTATAGGGTGAGCCTACACCAATACCAGTATAAAAATTACATTTATATAATGTAAAAGACATACATTTTATATGTTAATATATTTATACTTAGTAATGTATTATTAATATTATTTAGCAATGGAGGGGCAGAGAGAGGGAGACAGAATCCGAAGCAGGCTCCAGGCTCTGAGCTGTCAGCAGAAAGCCTGAAGTGGGGCTCAAACCCACAAACCATGAGATCATAACCTGAGCTGAAGTCAGACACTTAATCAACTGAGCCACCCAGGTGCCCCAATATCATAATTTATATTTATATATTTATGACTGATACTTATGGCTCTAATCTTATAATCTTCTTCCTCCCCTTTCCCAATTCCTGATGTTACTCACCAAGTTCAGGCAGCTGTTCATCTGGTAGTGGGGAGTGGGTGGGCAAGGAGATGAAAATGGTGGGCAGTAGGCAGTAAGATTGAGAGGATTTGAGTTCATGGAAGGAAAATTGTGTATTTTCACCTTCCGGGAGACTAGAGAGAATTTAGCTTATCTACTGCCTGATTTCCTAAGTAGCCCCTTACAGTGACAATTGAAATTGTTTGGAATTCTTCTGCACAGAGATTTGTCTATTCTCCCCATTTATTTATTTATTCAAGCACTTTCTTATACCAGTATGGATATTTATTTTATATGTTGGATTCGAATCCAGTACTACTTTATTTAGCTTGCTGCCTAAAATGCTGCAGCTTTGAACATTACAAACTCTCTCAATTGGCTCCTCTGTCCCTTTGGCATCCTTCTATCATTATGTTTCTTTCTTTTTTTTTTTAAAATTTTTTAACATGGATATATTTTTGAGAGACAGAGTACGAGCACAGGAGGGTTAGAGAGACTGGGAGATACAGAACTAGAATCAGGCTCCAGGCTCTGAGCTGTCAGCACAACTATGCTTTTGTCTGCCCATGTCCTAACAGAATGCCCTCCCTTCCACAGACTTTCAGATCCTGTGAAAAATGTAAAGAGCAGAGCATGGAAAATCAATATGGGAAGAATATGACTTTTAATTAATGTAGGAAAAAATAGGCTCAATAAACAGCCAAACTTTTTTGGGTCTGATTTCTACCTCTTGATTTTCTGGAGCAATTGGTTCTCTGAGTCAAAAAAAAAAAAAAGTAAATCAAATAATTAACAAGCCATAAAATAAAAGGAATGTCCTTCCTGATTTTGCAGAGCAACTGATGGGACCCAGGGCTGTGGGTAAATTTTTGAAAACCCATCTCAGAAGACCGGGGTAGAATATCATGTGTTATATCTCAAGCAAAATTATAATCATAATCATAACCAACCAATAAAAGTAGTGGTTGAAGAGTTTTCCAGTGTAACCAAGAGAAAAAGGCTCTCACAAGGATTGATTGGTACCTATCATCAGTATACTCAGTTGTAGTGGTTAGTGATTTTTCTCCTGATGTTTGTTAACAAAATGCTAATTTGTGCAATTTCGAGTTTATTCTTAGCTCCTGTTTGGCCCTTGGGATAAAAGCCTGAATCACTTGTCCTCTTGTGACTGATGTTTTACTCTGAAAAGCCTTAAATACGGTACTTAAGAAAACAGCCTGGGAGGGGCGCCTGGGTGGCTCAGTCCGTTAAGCATCCCGACTTCAGCTCAGGTCACGATCTCACAGTTCGTGGGTTCGAGCCCCGCGTCAGACTGTGTTGGCAGCTAGCTCAGAGCTTGGAGCCTGCTTCTGATTCTGTGTCTCCCTCTCTCTGACCCTCCTCTGCTCACGCTGCCTCTTTCTCTCTCAGGAAATAAATAAAAACATTAAAAAAAAAAAAAAGGAAAAGAAAACAGGCTGGGAGTGCAATCAAGATCTAAAAGCAAGTTCTGTCGTTAGTTCATAGTCTGTGGCTTCACTATCTCAAGCAAGCACGAGTTTATTCATTGCAGTTTCCTGCAGCTGCCCTGTGGTGGGCTGTGTAGGATGACCCACAGGAAATAATGGTGACTATACAGAGCCGAAGGTGATTGCCCAATTACTCTTCAGATCAGATCAGACTCCTCAGTGGAAATGGTGTTAAGAAACGATGGCCCAGAGAGGCTCTCACCTCCCGCTTGGTGCAGTTCTAGAGGGATGCAAAGGTAGGAAGAGCCCATTTTCTATTCTCAGCTTCCAAGAAGAGTTCTGGGTTGAGCGGTTGGCGGGTGATATAGGAATGTGGGTCAAAAGTCTCTAGTATAGGCTGAGGTGTGAATGAACTTGGGGACAAGTTAGCTTGCTCCTGACCCAGCTTTAGAAGGATAGGCCTCTCATCTATGTGGAAGTGAATGTTCAGGCTGTGGAATTTTGCCCCCTTCAACACCTACTTCAAAGGGAAAACATCAAGTAACTTCCAGAATCAATGGAATCTGAGTCAGAGAAATTGAAGGAAGGGAAAGGGAAGAAGTGGCTGACTGAAGGTCAAGTGGGAGAGAGAGTCCTCCTTTCCTGGTAAATGGCTCTGCTGTGTATATTCAGGTGCAAAAGGCAGTTCAACACACTCTGGCTTCTCCCCACCCCCACCTCCACCCCAACCTGATTTAAGGGGGAAACTATGAAAGTGATCATCAAGGGAAACTTTTCTGTTCATTCTTTATTACTCTTTCTGAGGTCATGATCTCACAGTTTGAGTTCGAGCCCCACATCAGGCTCTGCATTGATGGTGCTTAGACTGCTTGGGATTCTGTCTCTCCTCTCGGTCCCTCCTCCGCTTGTGCTCTCTCTCTCTCTCTCTCCCTCTCTCAAAATAAATCAATAAACTTAAAAAAATTTAAAAAGGTATTATTGTTTCTTGAGACACATAAAATCATATACTAGCATGTTTTGCCCCGTACTTATGGGACTTAAACACACACAAAAATGAACTGGGAGCTGATGTCATCTAAATTCACAAGTTCAAGTTTTGTCTTCAGGATGGTTTGCTCAGACCCGGATCCTGATCCCTGAGCAGAGGATTGTCAAAACTCTGTCAGTGGTTCGTTTTATTGACAGAGTTACTGCTCAATTCCGTTTATAATTCTCTGAGCTCCTCTGGGAGGATATTCAGAAACGACCAATTTTTTTTTCTTTAAGACAAAAGAATGAGACAGAAACCGAGAAATATAAACAAACCACACTAATTATAGGTCACATTAGAATTAGGGCAGAGCAGGGGCTCCTGGGTGTCTTAGTCGGTTAAGCATCCAACTTCATCTCAGGTCGTGATCTTACAGTTTGTGATTTGAGCCCTATGTCAGGCTCTGTGCTGACAGCTCAAAGCCTCCAGTCTGCTTTGGATTCTGTGTCTTCCTTTCTCTCTGCCCTTCCCCTGATCATGTTCTGTCTCTCCTTCTCTCAAAAATAATAAACATTAAAAATATTTTTTAAAAAAGAATTAGGGCAGAGCACATCAGGCAGCACAAACAGGGTGCATCAATGACTTATTGTAGCAGTAATGGTGCATAACAAACAATCCCCTGAAACTTAATGGTTTAGCTCAATAAATATGCATATTGTTGACAAGTCTGCACATGGCTGTGCATGGCTCTTCTGAAATCCCCTGGGATCAGGCATGTGAATGAGGGTCAAAAATTGCCATCTGATTGAGGATGACCTCAGCCAATATGAATGCTATGACATCTCTCATTTTCAGTGTCTTTTATCCTCAAGCAAGGTGGCTCAGCTATGTTTTCTTAGCTTTGTTTTTCTATGTTTCTCATGGCATGAACTCAAGAGCCTGTGCTTTTAAAATTTTTTTTAATGTTTTATTTATTTTTAAGAGAGAGAGAGACAGCATGAACAGGGGAGGGTCAGAGAGAGAGGGAGACACAGAATCCGAAGACAGGCTTCAAGCTCTGAGCTGTCAGCACAGAGCCCGACGCAGGGCTCGAACCCCGCGGGGCTTGAACAAACTGTGAGATCATGACCTGAGCTGAAGCCGGATGCTTAACTGGCTGAGCCACCCAGGTGCCCTGAGCCTGTGCTTTTAAAACATTTGCTGATATCTCTTTGGTCGAAGTGAGTCACAAGGCTGAAATCAGAATTAAGGGGAGAAGGAAATATATTCTACCTTGTAATGGAAGCAGCAGTAAAGTTGTGTGGCATTTGTATGAATGCAGGGAAAGGTAAAGAATAAGGGCTATTGATGCAACAAATCTATATGCAAGAGGAGTCTACGACAATTAAAGGGGCCTCAGAAAACCATGTTGAATTCACCTGGCTCATCAGAACTTTTTATAAATCATTACTATGCTTGTGGTATAGGAGAACATTAGCAAAGGCCAGTGTGCTAGAGAAATTGAATTGTCATTTGGTTCACACACAGAAATGCTGACTGACATTGAAGAAGTGATATAATCTCTTTAAAACCAAGTTTTCTTACATGGAAAGTGAAGGCTCTCATTTTACGTAGTTTCTATTCACACGCGCTTCTAAACTCATGACATAAATCAAACATTTATTTTCTATTACTGTATTGTAGACTTCTAACAAACAGGAATTGCATGTTTTATTTGTTACTATATTCCTAACTAACAAAACCTGTAACAGGGTCTCACGTATTGTAGACATTTAATCAATATTTGCTGACTGAATGAATGGATAGTATTCTTGTGAACAAAAAGCATAACACATAGCACTTACAGGACTTTCTATAATGATTGAATCACTTTCCATCAGTCATTTTTTTCCCTAGAAGATGTAAATGTAAACGTTCTGCATGCATATCTGTCATGTTAAGATTTAATAATAGTAATGATGCTAATTATAAATTTAATTTTTTTTTAAATGTTTAATGTTTTATTTATTTCTGAGAGAGAGAAAAAGACAGAGTGATCAGGGGAGGGTCAGAGGGAGAAGGAGATACAGAATCCGAAGACAGGCTCCAGGCTGAGAGCTAGCTGTCAGCATAGAGCCTGATGCAGGGGCTCAAACCCACAAACCACGAGATCATGACCTGAGCCAAAGTCGGACGCTTAACCGATTGAGCCACCCAGGCACCCCGTTAACTATTAATTATTTAGAATATACCAGTTCTGGGGCATATAGGTGGCTCAGCTGGTTAAGCGTCTGACTTTGACTTATGTCAAGATCTTGTGGTCCATGAGTTTGAGCCCTGTGATGGCTCTGTGCTGACAGCTCAGGGCCTGGAGCCTGCTTCAGATTCTGTATCTTCCTCTCTGTGCCCCTCCCCTACTTGCACTCTGTCTCTCTCTTTCTCTCAAAAATAAATAACTTTTAGAATATACCAGTTCTAATTTTATATGTGCAAATCTGTTGAAATCATATACACGTATAAATCTTTTGAAATCATGTGGCTGTATGGCAAGCAACAGGAGGTAGTTACCACAAGCACATCCTTTTTATAGTTTTAAAACTTAGGGTATGGAGATGGTAAAAAAAAGACATGCCCAAGTTTATATAGTGTGTGACTGAAATTATAACTTAGACAGTGTAACTTACCATCACACCAAACTTACCTCATGATACCACTTTTCCAAAGGCCTTTTTTCATGTCTAGAATAAAGGGATTGGAGAGTAGATTTGTTCTCAAAATATTTACATTTTACAGCACTAAAGATTATGTTGATATACCAAGTGGAACAACTGGATGGTTTGGCCCAAATCCTCTCAAGAAAGACAACATCATCCCAGTAGACCAAACAAACCTGAAGATCTTCTTGACGGGAGAGCCCCAGATACTGGGGGTGAGTGAGCTTGACCTCCAAGCATAGTATTTAGGGAAATAGCCATTTCCAGAGAGGAGAACAGTTATCCCTTGTGACTCCCAAAGTGTGATTAATCAGGTCATAAACTGACCTTCTTAGCGGAAGGAAATAGATTTTTTAAAAATCAGAGATCTGGAATCTGAAAGGAAAATGTGTTTCTCTAGTGAGAGGGGGGAAAGAGGATTACCATAAAATCTTTAGCTTTTTAAATTATGTTTATTTACTTTTGACTGAGAGAGAGAAAGAGAGAGAGAGAGAGAAACCGTGAGTGGCAGAGAGAGAGACACACACACAGAATCCAAAGCAGGCTCCAGACTCTGAGCTGTCAGAACTCACACACAGTGAGATCATGACCTGAGCCGAAGTCGGATGCTTCACCGACTAAGCTACCCAGGCACCACACCAAAAAACCTTTCTAAACAGTCTTGAACTTGAGAAAAAGCCATGGATTCCTAGGAGTTTCATTCTGGGAACCCTTTCAAAACTGAGGGATGGGAAATAGCTCTGTGTAAAGATCACAAAAATAATCTTTCTAGGAGCTTGCATGATTCATACTCTGAGCATATCTTCTTTTTCATTCCCCAGGTGGCTCAGATCCTGATTGGTGTGATGAAAGTATGCTTATTTGCTATAGGTCTGTGTTTTCATTTATCTGACTTTCACTACTGGTGTCTTCCTCTTAACATGATCTCAGGATATCCTGTCTGGGGATCCTTATTTGTGAGTATGTTGGAACATTTCAACTTCCTCTGTGGTAGAATTCTACAAATATTCCTTCCAGCCTTCCCTTTCACAAGTCAATGATGTGACCTGGGATTTTACTTCTTAGAGCAAACTATGTGACCTAAAGACTTTGGGGTTCTGGTGACCCCTAAGGCAGGTAGAAGAACAGGTGCAGGCTCACCAGACTGCATTCTTTCATTTTCAGTTCTTCTTATCTGGTGCTATGTCTATTGCAGCGGGAAGAAAAATGACACTGAACTTGGTAAGTATTTCCCTGGGCCCAGAGCAACAAGTAAAATCAGAAGTGTTCTATTTCAAGGCAAAAGAAATGATCTCTGATTCTCTGAATCATCTGGGCCCTATGGGGGTCATGGCAAATTCTTCCTTGAGGAAACTGAGGTTTGACTTACCTTTTTTTTTTTTTTGCCCCTATTGTCTGAAACTCTATCCCTGGGATTAATCTGTGAATATAGAATCCAATCCTTCAGCAATATTCCTCTTTCTTTCTTAGACTTAGGAAAAGTATTTGAGAATGTGGCTTCAACCCCTTCAAAATGAGTGAATGTTTTTGTGTTCTCCGAAGGGAGGAAGAAGAAGAAACAGAGGGATGTAAGGGACACTGATCATTCTCTTCCAGATCAAAGGCAGCCTGGGAATGAACATGCTCAGTGCCATTACAGGAACGATAGGGATACTCATGTTAATAGCCGAACTGAATATTATGCTTGAAACAGAGAAAAAGTGTCTTATTCTTGTAAGTGTTTCTGAGCTGCTTTTATTTTCTGCAATTATATTTATATTCTCTAAATGCGTAATAATGACTGTCTCTCAATTGATCTTGGCCTATCACCATAAGCAGTAAGATCTGGGACTTTAATCTCATGGGGAGAATTTTCAGCCCCTTGCCGCTAGGACCTACCAGAACAGTGATCTCTTTTTCTCAAGTTCTTCTCCAAACTCAGTTATGTTAGAGAATTGATCATTAGGACCTTTCTTTAGTCTTCAGGGTCAAGTTAAGATGGTGATGGACTGCTGCGCTGGCTCAGCAGGCTCTGTGTCATTGGCGAGTGGGTTGAGGAGGGTCAGAACACCAAGCCAAGATGCTCAGAGCCTCTGAGGGTGCATGTATGTACAAGGAAAGGACAATGATAATCGCTTTCACAGACCTGGAGGTTCTCTGCTCTTTAGATGGGAAAAAGGTATAAATTCAAATAGGGATGAAAAGAACTTGAAGCGGACAACAGAGAGAATCTCTAAGCCAAGAAAACTATGAAGACACATCTGATTTCATCTGAATTTTCTTGCACTTAATGAAGTTCCAGAATAGAACTCTGCTCTTTTAGGGTTTGCTTTTCAGTTTTTCTATTTTGGTTTGTGATGAGAGGGAACGTACTTGTTTCCGTAGGGAAGAAGGAGTCAAATTGGAATCAGAGAGTTCAGGGCCAGGGGAAGTATCTGTCTATTAATAATACTCCTTTCCTTTTCCTCTTTGCCCTCCTCATGGAATCTGCTCCTTTCTAGAGGACATTTGAGATTGTGATATTAGTCCTCTCCCTGCTGGAAGTCAGCATTGCTATCTCTCTCTCTGTATTTGGGTGCAAGGTGACCTGCTTTGTCACCCAGGTAAGTGTTCAGGACCTGGTGGAGGGTTCAGATTTGTCACGTTTTTGTTTCTCTCACTATCTCTCTCTGCTCTCTGGACCAAAGAGAAGGATAAGGAAGCAGAGTGATGGAAAGATAATTATGTACATGATCTTTCCTGAGATTGAAGAAGACAGAAGAACACATTGTTGGAGCTATGGTAGATGTTTCCAGGAACCTCGTAGGTCTTGCGGGATATCGATCTTTATCTAGTGAGGGGTGTAAGGCCCTGAAGGAAGGGACACTTAATTCTCAGGTTCTAAGATACAGAAAAGAGGTAGGGGTCACCAGGATGAATGCAAATCTCTAGCTGAAAGAGGATGTGAAAATGATATGTATTATTCTCAATATCCACAGGTGGTGGTTATCCAGTCAACCAACGACCAGGTGTCTTCAGCAATAGACCCTCAAGAACATGTCTACGAGGAGCTGGAGTTTGGATAGAATAGTTCCTGCTTTTGAAAATATTATTCATTGTGTATCTCTTCACCTGCCAGGAAATGTTCTCATCTGTGCACGGGAGCATAGTTATTACAAAACCAAATAAATACATTTTCCCCTCTATTGCTGCTGATTGTGATTTTGAGTCCCAATCTCCCACTTTGTCCCATAGCCAGTCAAATGACTGGGATGTACGGTGTCATTTCTCATGATAACTTGTAACGGAACTACACCACACATACAGAAAACTGGAAAGATCATGGTTGTAACAGTGGCCTAATTTTTTTTTAAGATTTTAGTTTTTAAGTAATCTCTACACCCAACATGGTGCTCAAGCTTACAACCCAGGGATCAAGAGTCCCATGCTCTACTGACTGAGCCAGCCGGGCGCCCCCAACTTTTAGATGTATAGAAAGCAGACATCCTTGTGTAAGCAGCACCTGAATCAATGAGTAAACATTACCAGGGTTTCAGAAAATGGTCAATGCCCCTTTCATTCACTAAGATCCCAGGGTAACTGCAGTCTTGACTCTCACCACCAGTATGAGTTGTGTCTTTGAATTTTATAAAATGGAACCTTGTGGTATATATATATAGCTGAGTATATACACTGGATATGACTCCTTTCTTCTACCGTGTTTGTGAACTTCATTCATGCCATTGCCAGTGACAATACTTCATTCACACTGCTGCAAGATATTCTACTGTAAGACTTATAGAACAATCTATTATCTATTTAAATATTGATGAATATTTGGGACACTTTTTAAATGTTTTATTTATTTCTGAGAGAGAGAGAGAGAGACAGCATGAGTGGGGGGGCGGTCAGAGAGAGGGAGGTACAGGATCTGAAACAGGCTCCAGGCTCCGAGCTAACTGTTAGCACAGAGCCTGACACGGGGGCTCGAACCCGCAAACTGTGAGATCATGACCTGAGCCGAAGTCGGACGCTTAACCGACTGAGCCACCCAGGCACCCCTGGGACATTTTTATTTGAGATGAACAGCACTGTACAAGCAAACTGTATCTATATACTTTGTTACATGCATGTGTAAAATTCCACCGGGTCTACGCATAAGACGGGAATTGTTAGGTCACATCCAAAGAGCATGTAACGTGCGTATGCCTTCTAGCAATGCGTCGGTTCCAGTTATTGCAAAGCTTTACCTTGATATCATGTGATTTTCATTTTAACCATTTTGATATAGTTGTATCACATTGTAATAGTTTTAATACTATTTATTTTGATAAGAACTTAAGTTTATTTTAAAAAATTGAGAAAATAATATAGAGTTCCCATACACCTCAAATCATCTTATGTCAGTATAAAATGAACTAATATTGATACATTATCATTAACTAAAGCATCATTATTATTCAGATTTCTTTAGTTTTTAATTAGTGCCCTTTTCCTGTTTCAAGATCCCACCCAAGACACTACATTACATTTAACTGTCATGTTTTCTTAGGCTCCTCTTGGCTGTGACTATTTCTGAGACTTCCTTTGTTTTTGATGACCTTGATTGTTTTGTGGAATACTGACCAAGTATTTTGTAGAATGTCCCTCAACTGGAGCTTATCTGATATTTTTCTCATGATTAGACTACTGTTTTGAGGTTTGGGGAGGAAGACCCTAGAAGCACAATATCATTCTTATTACATCCAATCAAAGATACATACTATCAACATGACTTACACTGTTAACATTGGCTTTAATCACCTCACTGAGTACAGTTTTTCAGTTTTTTTCCACTCTAAAGTTAGCTTTTCCCTGACTTTTTATACTGTACTCTTTGGAAAGATGTCACTATATAGCCACTGAGTGCAGCCTGGGATCAAGGAATCAGGAGTTAACATCTTCTGCTTTGAGGGTGGAGCAACCTCATAAGTGATTTGATATTCTGCCCTGGGGTTTTGTCTATTCTCCCACTTATTTATGCATTCAATTATTTGTATGACTTCATGAATATTTATAGATTCCTTGGGTTATAACCTAATAGCACTTTAGTTTATTGCTCAAGTTGTTTCTGTTTCAGTCACTGGGAGAGCATTCAGTGGCTCCTGTGTCCCTTTGGTGGGCCCTATCATTGTGTCTCATTTTGAACACTTCCTTCTTTTATGACATGACAATGCTCTCAGGCTGATCTTACATCATTCTTGCTCAAGTCTTAGAGTCAGCCATTTCATCACACAGGTGCTCCTTTTATTGGAGCACCATATCAGAAATCAAGATCTGGGTGCTAGGAGTGCTTGTTAATATTGGGATGTCATTTCTTTTAGGTTCTCTTAGCTAACAGAGCAAAATATATACATATGTCTACTAATTCATGTGCCTTAGTTGAGCTTTTCTAACAAGATACTATGTACAGACATTCAGTCTATAGTACCATGTTTATACACATATCTGTAAATGTTTCTATCTTTAGCCATCTATTATATGATATATCACATCTGTCTTTGAAAAAAAAAATCACAGGAAGTGCCAAAAAAAAAAAAAAAAAGCCAAAGAAGCCCTGTATTTCTACACTTTTAAAAAACTTTTCTGTAACCCATGGACTGTTTAGAAGCATGCTGTTTGAGGGGCACCTGGGTGGCTTGGTTAAGCGTCCGACTTTCGCTTAGGTCATGATCTCGCGGTTCTGGGTTTGAGCCCCGCGTCGGGCTCTGTGCTGACTGCCAGCTCAGAGCCTGGAGCCTATTTCAGAGTCTGTGTCTCCCTCTCTCTCTGACCCTCCCTTGCTCACACTGTCTCTCTCTCTCTCTCTCCCCTAGAAATAAAATAAAAATATATAAAAAAAAAAGAAGCATGCTGTTTGATTTCCAAAAATTTTGAATTTTCCACCTATCACAATTCTGCTATTACCTGACAGCTTTGTATGCTTTCTATTCTTTTAAATTTGTTGAGTTGTGTTGCATAACACATGAAGTGACCAATACTGGTAAATATTCCATGCACATTTGAGAAAAATGTATACTCTCTTGTTGGATGGAGAGGTCTGTAAATGTCAGTTAGGTCAACTTGACTGATACTTCTAAGGTCACCCATATCCTTACTGCTTCTCTGCCTGGGTGATATATCAGTTGTCAAAGAGGTGTTGAGGTCTCCAAATATAATAGTGTGTTTGTCTACTTCTCCTTTTAGTTTTATCAGTCTTTTTCCTCATATATGTTGGACTAACTACAAGTGGCCATTGAGCACTTGTAACATGGTTACTGAGACTAAGAAAAATGAACTTTAAATTTTTTAAGATTTTAAATAATTTAAATTGCCATATGTGTGTCTAATAGCTATTGTACTGTATAGAATAGGAATGGAATTGCTTGATCTTATAGACACACTATTAATTTTATTAGACTTTGAAAAATTCTGGTTGTATTATTCTAGGGGAATTGATAACAGTTTGATTAATTGTCAGTGAGCCAACAAAGCAACACAAGCTTTTATAGAAAAGCTTATATGTGTAAAATATCATCACAAACGTTTAATGTACTTCGAATGATGCAATACAGTTAAGTACCTTAACACTAGATTAATGATTTTTTAAAAATAGTTTATTGTCAAGTTGGTTTCCATATAACACCCAGTGCTTGTCCCCACAAGTGCCCTCCTCCATGCCCATCACCCCTCTTCCTCTTCCCCCCACCCCCATCAGTCCTCAGTTTGTTCTCAGCCCTCAAGAGTCTCTCATGGTTTGCCTTCCTCCCTCTCCCCCACTATTTCCCCCCTTCCTTTCCCCTATGGTCCTCCGTTAAGTTCCTCCTAATGAAATATCATAATCTATAGCATTTTGTGTAATTAAAAGTATTTTTTGCATATATTTTCTGTTTTGCTTGATGTATATCCCAATATGAATGGAGTAAGAACAAGCAAGCCATTTGAGAGATAAGGAAACTGAGGTTTAGCCGGGAAGGATATGCATCCAAAGTCACAGAGTGTAAAAATGATGGACCAAAAACTTCATGCAAACTGCTTCCACAATTGGTCCAGGAAACTCTACATTGACTGCACTGTTTTTCATCAAAGAAAGGGTAAACCTCAGAGCTTTAAGAAAGGAATAGAGCTCTATGTTTGCACATTTGGGAGTTGGAGGGATTGAGATTTTTTCTAACATGCAGGAATGAATGAATTAGGAAAATGAATTGTGATCTCAGAAAATAAATCCTGGCTGATGAAGAACACTGTGGTGGAGGTAATATTAGTCACTAACATTTTATGTCCCTCTACATTTCCTGTCTCCCACACAATGCTGGGAAGGTAGGTGACCATTTAATGAGCTGCAACAAAGAATGACACATGGTTCTAGACCAAAGTATCTAATTGCCAAAGGTCCAACTTCGAACTTTGTCTTTCTCTACCTTGGCAAAATTAAAAAAAAAAAACCTTTTGGAGATATTATTCTATTATTCTATTTTTTGGAACTCATATCAGTGTGGGTCTAAACAGCCAACTAACAATGAACATGTAAAGTATGCGGTAAATGAACTTCTGATGTGTTAAGCCACCAACATTTCAAGGTTAAGTTTTGTAACAGAGCGTACACCTCACTTGTGATGACATCCAACCATAACAAAAAGGAATAGTAACAACCAAATTCTTAATGCTATAGATGCTAGCTGCTATCTTCATGACTTTGAACCACACAGTGGTATTCTCACATGCGTATATTTATGCCTCAGTGGTTACAGTATAAGATTCTTGGTACCACTGTGGATCCAAAAATACAGAAATACGGCTTCATATTTGTTTACTAGTATCTGTTGGATAACAGGAAGGTGTTTCCTCTTTATATTCAAGTTCTTGATAGATTGAAGTTTGAGGCAACAAGTCTTGATAAGGACTTTCAGAAGGTGATTTCCAGCAAAAAAGTACAGAAATCTGTAAAGAAGCCAAAGAATTATCTGTAAAATAATCTGTAAAGTCTGTAAAATAAGCCATTAAGAATAGTATAATCTAAGTCCTCAGTGATTTGTCTCCAAATATATGCTCTCTTACTCTAAAGATTAATTGTGTGGACTTTGGACCCAGAGGAACCCAATGGCTGCTCTCCAACAAAGGTAGAGGGTGAGTTCAATTTCAATCATGACTAAAACTACCCAATGATTCAATAAGTGGTGTTGGGAAAACTGGACAGCAACATGGAGAAGAATGAAACCGGACCACTTTCTTACACCATAAACAAATGTAAATTAAAAATAGATAAATGTGAGACTTGAAACTATAAAAATTCTAGAGAAGAACACAGGCAGCAGCCTTTCTGACATAGGATGTACCAATTTCTTTCTAAATATTTCTCCTGAGGCAGGAGAAACAAAAGCAAAAATCATTGGGATTTCATTAAAATAAAAAACTGCTGCACAGTGAAGGAAACAATCAACAAAACTAAAAGGCAGTACATGGAATGGGAGAAGATATTTGCAAATGACATATCTGATAAAGGTTGAGTATCCAAAATCTATAAAGAATTTATAAAACTCAACACCCCAAAAACAAATAATCCAATTAAAAAATGGAAAGAAATCTTGAATAGACATTTCTCCAAAGAAGACATCCAGATGGCCAACAGACACATGAAAAGATGCTCAACATCACTGATCATCAGGGAAATGCAAATCAAAACTACAATGAGATATCACCTTACCCCAGTCAGAAGGACTAAAATTAACAACACAAGAAACAACGGGTGTTGATGAGGATGAGGAGAAATAGGAACCCTCTAGCACTGTTGGTGGAAACACAAACTGGTGCAGTAACTCTGGAAAATAGTATGGAGTTTCCTCAAAAAGTTACAAATAGAACTACCCTAAAATCCAGCAGTCGCACTAGTAGGTATTTACTCAAAGGATACAAAAATACTAATTCAAAGGGATGCATGCATTCCAGTGTTTATAACAACACTATCTACAATAGCTAAATTATGGGAGCAGCCCAAATGTCCATCCACTGATGAATAAATAAAGAAGGTATGGTATATATACACAATGGAATATTACTCAGCCATAAAAAAGAATGGAATCTTGCCATTTGCAAAAAACATGGATGGAGCTAGAGAGTATTTTGCTAAGTGAAATAAGTGAAATAAGTTAGTCAGAGAAAGACAAATACTATATGATTTCACTCATATGCAGAATTTAAGAAACAAAGCAAATGAGTGAAAGAAAAAATAGAGAGAGAAGCAAACCAAGAAACAGACTCTTAACTATAGAGAACAAATTGAGGGTTACTAGAGGGAAGGTCAGGGGAGGATTAGACTCAAATGGTGGAATAGTTGACGGGGATTAAGGAGTGTACTTGTCACGAAGATCACTGAGTGTTGTATATTAGTGATGATTCACTGTGTATTGTACACCTGAAGGTGATATTACACTGTATGTTAACTTAAACCCTAAAAAAAAAACAACTACCCAATGATTAATTTTTTCCAGATATTTAGCCAGGTGCATATCAGTCTACTTGGCTTACTAGTGTTAAGTTTTGAGGAAGATAAAGGAAAATATAAACATGTCCATTAAAATAATTCTTGAACAACAGAAATAGGGAGAGATATTAGGGCTTTTAGCCTTCTTCAATCATTTTGGTAAGAAGAATTCCTGCCCAGCTAATATTGGGACAGTAATATGAGGCATTACTGATAGGCTGGAAAATAATGAGTTGCTAATAGAACATAAGTTTCTGAGTGTCTGAACACGTTTTGTGTGATTATGTACATAAAATTTTAAGTATTTTTGTTTTTTGTATTTGTGATTTGTTGTCTGTCTCTTATAATGAAAGATTATTTATGAGAGAAAATAATGTGAGGTTTTTTTTAATAAAGGATGATTATTGTATTTTCATAATTTTTGACTAATGCTTGACCCATAAGCTGTTACTAACATTTCCCTTCTTCTCTTAACAATATAACCCCTTTTTAACCTGGAAAATGGAGGTAAAATTGTGGCTATATTTCCTAGGGTATCTTTCAGCTTAGTATAGGAAAATAAGTACTAGCCAACAAAATGTGGGAATAATAATAAATCTCACTTTGGAGTTACAGACTTAGAAAGACAGATATGTTTTCTTGTTTCCCTTTTCATTTCTGCTGGTCGGGATATGGATGTGATTGCAGGAGCTCCTTCATGGATCCAGAGGTGAAAGCCACATTTTGAGGATAAAGGATCTACCTTTCCATCCCTGTTTTTGGTGGAATTATGTTTCCATAGAAGACAAAAACCTGGCTTCCAACAGCCAGGGAATATTTGATATATAAAACACCATGTATACCGTTAGAGAGTAGATGTAAATACTGAGAAATATCTAAGAATAACTAAGAAGAGCATACTCTCCAATGTCTACTCTAGTGAGGGCCATGAAAATTAGTGTACAAAAAGCCAGAGAGGAAAATGGATAAGTTAATATCTCCCAGAGAAGGGAACTATGCGATAACTTAATCATTCTATGCCATTTTGGGGGGCAGGCTATCTCTGTAATTCCTGCCTTAGAAAATATTATAAATGCCATAGCTCAGTGATTTCATATTTCTCTTTCAATCTCCAGGTTGAAGTTTTATCATTATCTTTGGTCAAGCCCACATTTATATAATGTAAGCAGAAATGGGGCAAATAATGTGTCTTTCAGCCTTCACTGCAATTTGAGCTACTACAAATATACAATAACTCCAGAGCATATTGGAGTTATTGGATTATTGTCCTTCGTGAGTTGGTGAGTGTATTTTAGGTGTGGGGGAGAATGTAGATGTGTCTATTTGGTGCCTCTAGAGAAGAATGTGATTGAGAATGTTCCTCATCCTCCTTTAAGAATAGAGGGGTGCCTGGGTGGCTCAGTCAGTTAAGCGTCCGACTTCGGCTCAGGTCATGATCTCACCGTTCGTGGATTCGAGCCCCATGTCGGGCTCTGTGCTGATAGCCAGCTCAGAGCCTAGAGCCCGTTTCGGATTCTATGTCTCCCTCTCTCTCTGACCCTCCCCTGTTCACGCTGTCTCTCTCTCTCTCAGAAATAAATAAAACATTAAAAAAAAAGAATAGAAATTCTGTATATTTGAGCTAGATATGAGTCTGACGGAACTCTGTAGCCTCCATTCTGGCTCAATGTGGTCATGCAACACATGTTGGCCAGTGTAATGTGAGAGAAGATACATATGTCCCTTCAGATCCATGACCTTACAAGAATAAATATGTCTTCCCCTTTTCTGTGTCTTTTCTCATTGGGGGGTGCACAAGTATTCTGTGGTGGGCAGGATATTATGGTGATTTCCGTGAGTATGTTATATGGCAAACAAAACAAAACAAATCATTATCCAGATGAGCCTAATCTAAGTATAGGACTCCTTTCAAGGCAGAGTGTTCTCTAAATGGAGGAAGAGGAAGTCAGAGAGATTCAAAGCATGAGAACTTTTGACAAAGAGGAAGCACTCTGTGGCTGACGTGGAGAGAACCACTTAAATAGATCGAGAGCAGCTTCTAGGAGCTGAGCGTGAGGGACTCCTGGCCAACAATCCCAGTTCCATAACACAAGCAACTGGATTCTGCCAACGACAACAGAGAACTTCCAGACAACTCTAGACTTTCCAGGAGTCCAGGGCATCCAGTACATGGACTTCAGCCTCATGAGATTCTGAGTAGAGAATCCAGTCAGGTCCATCAAGACTTTTGATCTACAGAACTGTGAGGTAATAAGTAGGTGGTAGGTATTGTTTTAAGTCAATATGCTTGTGGTAATTTGTCAGGCAACAACAAAAAATTATTACATATTTTGGTCCTGGAGATGGGGTAATAATGTAATATTACTATAACTATATCTAGGATATATAAATAAATATCCAGGATATGGGAGTAGCTTTGGAATTAGGCAGTGGGCTGAAAGGAGTTTGAGGAGAATTTTGAGGAGTAAAATTTTGAGGAGCAGGACAGAGAAAGTCTCAAATGCCTCATATAGTTTGTTAGTGGAAATAAAGGCACTGAGAGTACGGTCAGTGTGGCTCAGAAGGAAGTGAGGAACACATTAATGGAAACTGGAGAGAAGGTCCAGTGGCTCAGTGGCAGAAGTCTGACAGATTACAGGTCTATGGAGAGCATAACCAGTAAATGGTGAACATGGATAATCAACTGAGGAGATTTCCACAGCATTGAACATAAGGCCTGGCTTCTTCTTGCCTACAATTAAAAAAGAGGAGAAATGCCACCAGCAGACGACACCTTTGGCCATGCCCACGGGTCCATCCCATCCATGGTCTTCCTTTCCTGACTGCCTGCCCTGTGGAATTCAGACTTGCTTACCAGCCCTTAGACTCATGTGATCCAATTGCTTGTGATAATGTTATATTCTTGAAATGAGGGGGTTTTCAATGCCATATACCTATCTATTTTCTGTCTAAATTAACCCTAATTTGACACATAGCTGCGTCAATAATTTGAACACATCAGAAAGAACCAGGTAATGAGGAAAAAAATGCTACTAGCTCTGTGTTACCTAGATCTGTTACCTATAATAATAAAACATAAAATTCTAACTATATCTGTGTTTCCAGTCAGCTGTATTATCAACTGTATTTAACTGGAATAAACTATTTCATCTCTTTCAGGTTTTTAAATTAGGTATACCTTGATTTTTATTATTTTTGGATGATATATACATTATATTCATCACACCAAAGAGTGTACTTCAGATAGTAGATTAATAGATGGATGGGTGGATGGATGGGTGGACAGATGTTGAAGTCATGGATAGATACCCATGGGTGAGAGCTTCTGTATGGAATAGAGAATTACACACTGTGTATCCCAGGTGTGCTCAACACACAACTAGTAGCTCCCAGGTTGTCCACAGAATCACTTCTAGTTTATGTTTTTGTTCATTTTACCAAGGTAAAAGGAGCCATCGGCCACATCATTTAATGAAATAGTTGAAATCGTCCTCATTCTTCTAAGAATTGTACATACCCAGTGGATATTCCCGTCATCCACATCGTAGATGAGCATGGAGAGAGGAAGTGAAATTAAAAATTGCAGACAAGTTAGGATCATTAGGACAATCACAAGTCCCTGTTAAAAGAAAATAAAATGTCATGCATTACCTTCCACTTTGATGATAGTTTGGAAAGCCTTATGTCAGAGCCCCACATCAGGCCATCAAAAGGGGAAACATCACAGTATATAAAATGGTGCAATGAAATTGGGTCTGAACCCAGAAATCTATGTGCTGCTACAGAAAAGCAAGAGTTAGAGATGATAGTAAATATTATTGAATATACTCATACAAGATGGGAAGTAAAACTAGATGACGTTATAGAATTCACAATAACAGTTCCACTTTTGATTTTTATTAAATTATTATTATTATTGGTGATAGAGATGGGTTATTAGTAATATTACTATTGAAGTTATTGTTACTCTGTCATGGAGATCAGAAATGTTGCCATTGTTTGCAAAGCTGACTCTTCTCGATAAACGAGGCGTAAATGGCAAGGGTTCAGACCTCCCCAATGAAATACTAAAATTTCTCAGTTTTCCACTGGACTCAATGCTAATTAAAACCAGAATGTCTCCTAAATCTGAAACACACTTTAACATAAAAATTTTAAAAACTTTTAATTTTTAACTTTTTTGTCATTGTCCGCATAAGTGAATTGTGTCTTCCCACACTCCAGTGTTCTTGATTTCTTTTACTGGTTTCTTCCTGATTTCTTTCTCCTCTGTCTCAGACCATTTGTCTGAATTTCTTTCACATGGATTTATTGTAAAAAAAAAAAAAAAGGGAATACTCTCAGACAGTGGCAAGTCTGAATAAGCATTCATTCTCCAGATAGCTTTGGGTATTGACTTATTTTTAAAATCCCAGCAGTAATGAAAATTATAATAGAAAATAATTTAAAAATAATAAAGGATAAAGTAAACATTTCCCCATTCTTTGACTCAGATTTTAATATCATTCTATTTTTTCCAGAAAAAAATAAAATTTAGATCACAGAACTGGGACTCTCTGCCATTGGAAAGAAATCGTTTTTTTCTCTTTCTAATTGTCACACCTGTAGAGAAGCATTTGGAAGGAATCTGGAAGCAAGAATTTTTGTCATGTTCTTGAAACATACCAATGATCAGGTCACATCTTCATTATGCTCAGATAAGCATTCGATCTTCTCAGAATTCAGGGGGATAATACTTACAATTGCAATTGATTTGATGCCCAAACAGGCAGTTTCCTTCTCGCAATCATAGTGGAAATTTTTTGTTAAATTGTATGACAGAATACAGATCCCAACAAATGAGACCAAGGTGCTAAGAGTGTTAGCGCCTATATTCTTCCTCAGCTGAAAAAAAAAAAAAAAAAAGGCATAACAGCTTATAAGTTAAGGACCAGGGGTTTCTAGACCCTAGATGCTGGAGAGGGGTGGGGGGAGAATTCTGATTTCATTTACTTATCCATGGGATCTACAGGCATTCATTATCCTTATAGTGCCAATTTGGTTCAATGATAAATCACAACTGAGAGAAGAGTTGGAGAGGATTGATCTTGCATAAACACATACCATGGATAGGATAAAAACATTAAGCACATTTTTCAGCATCTCTTGCTTTCTCCTCTGTCTTAGCTCCTCCCTCCACCAAAGATAAAAATCTGCCTTGCTCAAGCCTAAGCCAAGCTTTCTCTTTATTAACGTCACCCACCCCATTACCATAACGAGGCTTGAATAGCTACATAAATCTTTACTCGCTCTTCAGAATTCTAAAATCCAGGGAGATCCAGCCTATCTGTTTCTAGACAGAGGATGGTCACATGATTCATTGGGCCCAAAGGATAGTTACATGATGAAATGTACTACAAAATAATGAATCCCCTGGGTGACTGGGCTTCATGTGAGGAACTCAGAATGTTGTAAGTTCTCATTTTCTCCCTGAATGATGAAGGGGAGAATTATTAGCTTACCAGTGATTTTGTTTGCTTCTTGGCAGACACAACAGTCAGAGATCCAGAAATGATAAACTGTTTAGAAGATAAGAAAGGTATTTACAGAGCAGTGGCTTCTTCCAAGTCACCCTTCCACCCTTTTACCAGGTGCATATCTTTCTTCATATCTAGTGCTTCCCCTCCACCCCCCCCCCCCCCCCCCCCCCCCCCCCCCCCCCCCCCCCGGGCCACCTCTTCAGAACTCAGAGGAAAGCAGATCATTAAAGTGTGTGCACCACACAATAGTTACCCTTTTATTCTTCTGAACAGTAAAATTCCCTTAACTAAATCAGAGAGGTGGACAAAAAAGCCACAGGGCAAAACAACTTATTCAATGTGGAGAAATAAAATAAATAGAGTAAATATAACTCAAAGACAGACTTTGGGGTGCAGAAAAGGGAAAATGTGAACTCAAATTACATCGCATTTTTCTCAAAGTATTTGGCCAAGAAGGGTGATCACTTAAGTAGAGTAACACCTCCTTGCCCTTCCCATCCAGCAAATTCTCTAATCCAAGTATTATTACATTTCAGAGATACTGCTCCCAAGTGTCAAACCCAGTAGTTTTTCCTCACCAAAACGGCAAGATTGTACTGAATAGCTTCAGGCTATCCAACAATGAATAGAACTTAAGGGCATTATTATATTAGAATATATATTAAAGTTCAGGGCGTCTGGGTGGCTCAGTCAGTTAAGTGTTGGACTTCAACTCAGGTCATGATCACGGGGTCAAGTCTGCAGTTTGAGCCTTGCATCAGGCTCTGGGCTGACAGCTTGGAGCCTGGAGCCTGCTTCAGTTTCTGTGTCTCCCTCTCTCTATCTGCCCCTCCCCTGCTCATGCTCTGTCTCTCTTTCTTCCAAAAATAAATACACACTAAAAAATTTTAAAATAAAGTTCAGGTTTGAAGTTAAATCTTAACTAAGTGTCATTGAAAGTACTCTAGAATTGGCAAGATGCCACACAAATTGTGTGATGAGTTGATGAATGAATGAATGAATGAATGAATGAAGGACTGAATAATAATAATTAGAGATATAAGTGAAATACTCACAGACAAAGCCCCCCATAAAGGGAAGCCTGTGGAAATTGAGAAGAAAACAGTTGGGTACATTTCAGAATCAAAAGTAAAAAATCCAATTATCCCATAAAAGATGCATTTCACACCAATCATAATCTGAGCCACCTGAGTAAGAGACAAAACAAACCAAATTACCAACCATTCAAATTAACAAAACAGAAACAATGCTTTAAGGAAAATGGTGAGCATTTCTCAGGAGAGAGAATCACTTAGTCCAAATATCATGGTCATCCATGTTCAAGGTTTGAACCCCTTGAATTTTATTAAAAGATCTGCTAAGAAGGATCAGTTCCTGGAGAGTCTGCTTTTTTTTTTTTTTCAGAGGTCTGCCTATGTAGGTCAATCTTGTGCCAATAAAATGTAGTCACCATGAGGCCCATCCAACAGATTAGGACTTCTACAGTCTCCTCTTAATGTATCCCCCCATCCCCATACAAGTGTGGTCCTTTGCTTTTAATCAAAGTGTCTTTCTTCTACGCCACAGAATGGTTGACACAGGTAATAACCTGATGGCTCTATGTCAGAATAATAAGCCAAAATAATCCTCCACCCTCAATATATGCCCCAGCTTCTGGTTCAAAATTCGTTATTAGTAGTTTACTTACTTACCCCCAGAGCTTTTAGATTCCCCTTCAGGAATTTCTGCAGCTTGTCTAGTGAGTGTTTCAGGGTACCAGGCTTTCCAGTCTTTCCTAATGGTGTAATTTGGTTTTGGTTTGGAGGAATGTCCACAGTATTCCCACCAGAATCCAAAGTTTTGCTCATTCTGTAATAGATGGCGTCAGATATGTACCGTCATAAGCTCAATACTGTTAATCTTATTGTAATGGAAGTAGATATTGGGCTTCTTTTATCTGAAGTCTTTATCATATTTGAAGGAAAGGCATTGGCCAAATGATGTTTATGTGTCCATGCTGCTGACTCTGTTATCACTGATGAGGTAAGCAAGGAGAGAGATGATGGAAGTTGAGGAATATCAAATCCTACATAACTGTGAGCTATCCTCCAAGGGTAAGGAAGGCTGTAAATCTCAAGTCATTTTTTTTTTCTTTTTAAAGTTGTATGTGGTCACAGACTCGTATAAAAGTACCCACTATGGGAATGATGCTATATCTATTTAGCCTTATCTCTGATGGAGTAAAAATAACCTGAGATTTAAAGGCAAAGAGTTTTGAATTAAAGATATTCCCCCTTTCTTTTTTTAATTTTTAACATTTATTTTTGAGAGACAGAGAGAAAGAAAAAGAGAGAGACAGAGCACGAGTTGGGGAGGGGCAGAGAGAGAGGGAGAATCCAAAGCAGGCTCCAGGCTCTGAGCCATCAGCACAGAGCCTCATGTGGGCCTTGAACCCACGAACCATTAGATCATGCCCTGAGCTGAAGTTATAGGCCCAACCGACTGAGCAACTCAGGTACCCCAAGACATTTCCCTCTAATTTAACTAAATGTATCATGTAACTTATCATCCAACCCAAGATAGTTTTGGGAATGAAAGAGAATAGGAGTAGTATCCATAATTATGCTGGGGAAATAAGAGAGAGCTAGGGATACACTATATAAAAGCCGCCTTAACTTCAAGTACTGTGTGGCCATGAATATTGTATTTAGTCAAAAGCCTAGGTTTGTCAACATAAAATATAATCATGCTTATGGGTTCATAGATGTGACACTGGAAATGATGCATCCAATTTTCCTAGTATCATCAGATGTAATATGACATAAATTCTAGTATTATCTTCTCAAGAAGTTAGGATGTGATTTGGTACTTGTCAAAAACAATGATGGATTTCCATTGTAGAGCAAACCCCAGAATGGATTCCCATGAAACGAACTCATTTTGAACCTTTTTTTCCCAAATATTACCTTTTTATTTCTAGATCATCTTTTACTATACCAATTTTATGAATATCTTGTACCATTAAGTGAAGTTTGAAAAATGGGGGCAGACTTTATTCCTTATTACATTGGTATTTATGAATTCTATCGCTCTCCCTATTATGTTTTAATTTAGTTTTGATTATATTTTATACAATTTTTTCTTATGTTTTCTCCTCCCATTATGCTAATGCTATTGAATTAGACCCTTTATATAACTACTTATGTATAAGTTTCCTGAATCAAAGTAGGAATATAGTTTCTGGCTCTTGAGATCCATGCCCAATTTCTTAGAGAAAAAAAAAAAAGAGTTAGTGTACATCGATTCCAACACTGCTTGAGTGTGTAAATCTCTTTGCAGTCTCGATAAAAAAATTAAGATACCATGACATGGAACTCTTATGGGACACTTAAGATTAATCGTAAGCATTCAATTTTTCTACTCCCAGCAGTTGCTTCTAATTAAAGGGTTGAAACAAGGAATTTATTTTATGTGACCACACTGGAAGCGCCAGAGAGATATTTTTTTTTCTATTCCTTTGGTGGATGAATCTTGTCCATTAATACTTCATAAATAGAAAGGATCCCATCAATCAGTTATTCTATCTTTTTAAAATGTGACCCTTATAGACAAATATGGTAAATAACTTGCCCAAGTTCACAGACAGATTTATAGATGTGGGACCAAAGAGCTGTTGGACTGATAAGTAAAAATCCACTCTTTAGACAAAACCTGCCTCAAACTAACACATCCCTTTTTTAGCTTCCTGAAGCCCACATGTAACAGGTTTGAGTGTTTGAGGAAGCCATTGCTTTCAGTGTAACTTTGTTGGGGGAAAAATTATTGACCCCCAAAAGTATCCCCTATCACTCCTCACTGCAACTGTCATTATTTATTCATCCATTCACTTGACAAATATGTATTTTAGATTAAAAATATTGATCATAATATTTACTGGGCACATTTTAATTCACTACTGCCTTTAATGATATTTTACTGGGGCTATGTCATTATAATCTGTAATATTCTATCAATTAGTAAGCCTGTATTGAGCTTCTGACTGCCCCTTGAGGCTACCATCCAACTGGTCAGTATTTTGAGTAAGACTTTCACATTTACAGCCATCGTCTTTCTAACAAATGCTTCTCTTTTCTACCTCTGCTGCCTAGTTTAGAATGACATGGACGTATTTCTTGGTTACTCAACAATACAAAAATTAGCCTCATTTACCACAATGTCCTCACCTTAAGTATTAAATTCAAAGCCCCATGACCCTTTGTAAGTCAATATAACTTCAAACCCACCTAATCCCCCTCATCATATCTCTGCCACATTAGTTATAAAACTCTCATGATTCTAAGAATATTATTATGAACTTAGCTGACTCACCATGTCCATTCTTGATGTTCTGAATTTCACTTGCAGATTGTAGACAGAAAAGTTTCCATGTCACAATTCTAGCCCAATTATTTCCCTGTATCTTAAATTGAATCTTCTAGAAAATACGGCTGGAGACAAACTTCCTCGGTAAGCTAAGCCTTACTGTCTACCCACTGATGGGGAAAGTGTGTTTGCATAATCAGAAAGTCAGAAAGCAGGACTGTAGACAAGATCAGGTGTGTCTGAATCACTGAGACTTTCTGCACGATCTTAAAAAATTTTCCTGAAATATTTGACATTGAATATCTACCAGCGGAAAGAAAGGAAAAACTGTCTCTGCCTTGAGCCCACATTTGGTTCAGTCTCTGTCTGTCGGTTCTACATCTTTCCCTCTCAGACCATAGACAAAAGTACTTTCTGGTGCTCTGGATAATGGGAGGGGGAAAAGTTCTACCTACCTAGCTTTGTTCCACCACAGATGTGGGAGGCTGTAGTCTTCTTAAGCTTATGTCTCTGGTGTTGTCTATCAAAGACTGTGCCAACATGTAGGGGAGAGAAATCTATGCTTTGATCTCTGTGTTTCCTCATTTGCTGTATTTCCACACCTAGAACTCTAGATAAGCAGTTTTGATGTATATCAACAAAGTTGATATAAATCATATTTCGTTGCTGAAAAATTAGAAGCGTTATCACCGTGGGGCGCCTGAATGATCCAGTCGGTTAAGCGTCTGACTTCAGCTCAGGACATGATCTCTCAGTTCATGAGTTCGAGCCCTGCATTGGGCTCTGTGCTGATAGCTCAGAGTCAGGAGCTTGCTTCAGATTCTATGTCTTCCTCTCTCTCTCTCTCTTTCTCTCTCTCTGCCCCTCCCCGCTCATGCTCTGTCTCTCTCTCAAAAATAAATAAACTTAAAAAAAAAAGAAGCATTATCACTGTAATCCTCAATACCAACTGATAGTTTTATTTCTGTGCTCTCTTTCCATTTCTTTCCATTAGTCTGACAAAGATTTTATTTGTTCTTTTAATTTACTAAATAAAATTCTTTCCTTTGGAGCAATTTCTAGGAAATTCATATTTTCAACCAACTTTTCTTGGTCTTTGCGTTAGCACCTTATTAACTATAATTTCATTAAAATTAAATAAACATAAACATAAACAAAAAAAATTACTATATTTCCAAAGACACTTAAATTTATAGCTATCTATCTATCATCTATCTATCTATCTATTATCTATCTATCTATCTATCTATCTATCTATCATCTATCTATCTATCTCTACCTATCTATATCTAGCTAGCTAGCTAGCTAGCCAACTAGCTAGCTATCTATCTCACTGACCAGGCTCAAGTATACCAAGAAAAGTATTACTATATAACTGTACTATGGTAACATTACAATAAAAAATCAATAAAAATGATTAAACTTTGTTCAGATTAGCCAAGGGAAAAAGAGAGAAGACAAAGATTATTAATATAAGGAATAAACAAAGGGACATCATTGCAGAATCCAGAGATATTAAAAGGATAACAAAGAAATACTGCGAACAAATTTATGAAGTAAATTTGAAGTCTTGAAGGAAATAGAATAATTACATGAAAGACACAGATTATGAACATTGACTCAAGAATAGATGACCCCCATAGTTTAATATCTATTACGAAATTGAATGTACAGACAAAAACTGTTACAACAGCAACAATAACAAAACCCACTCCCTCATGTATCACTGGCTAATTCTACCAAATATTTAAGGGAAACAAACTGAACATAATCCTTTCCATGTTATGAGGTCAACATCACCATGACAAGACAAAGATATCATTAGGACTACATGGTGAGAACTCTTGGCGTAGGTGCGGAAATCCACAACACAATGTTTATCACATCAAATTCAAAAGTATATCAAAAGGTAATTCACCACAACCAACAGAGTTTATTTCAGGAAGACAACAGTGGTTTAACAAAAAAATCGATGTATCCAATTCGTCATATTGACAGCATAAATACCTAAACCCGTATGATCTTCTCAATATAGAGGAAATGTGTCTGACCAAATGTATTTATTCATGATAAAGAAAAAACTCTCAGAAAACTCAGAAAAGATGTGAATTCCCATTATCTGGAAAAAGCCATATACAAAAACCTACAGTTACAACATACCCAGCAGTGAGATACTGAATACTTGTCCCCCAATACTAGCATATCTGCCTTCCCCACTCCTGTTCAACATCTTCTAGAAGTCATAACCAGTGTAATATGGCAAGAAAATAAAGACCTAAAGTGTGGAAAGTAAGAAATACAAATGTCCCTATTGAAGATATCATTGTCCATGTAGAAAATCCTAGAGAATCTTTTTAAAAATCTAGAACTAGTAAATGAGTATAGGTGACTTTGTTAGGCCACAACTGAATGTTTTCTTCTAAATTTTTTGGGCATGTTTCCATAGACCTTAGTCTAGTGTTTAAGACACTGTTAAATGCCAGTTAATATATTGTAGTTGACAAAATGCTATCAGACTGTGGCAACAGCTAAGTCAGAAGCACACAGTGGGTTGCCAGTTTCAGATTATTGTAGGCAGTACAGGCAGAATTGCATTAAGCCATCCGCTAGTACTTCCTTAAATTGTGATTAGCCATAAACCAAGAGAGGTCACATGTGTCTTTTGACTGTAGATTACAAACTGAATATGTTCCAGGCCTTTCCAACAAGTTGAAATGTGATGATCACTATTCCCTTGTCACACAGTGGGTGGGTTACTTCAGGCTGAGTCAGGATCCACAAAGCAAAGGAGAATCAAGACCAGCAGGGGATCAATATCTGAAAAAGCAGAACTTGTGTGCAGAAACTGTGTGTATTTTCCTATTTTCAAACATCAGTCAGACTCTACTCATTGGAATGGTTTTACAGGACCCTGAACTGAAAAAACCATAACTAACTTCATGATGTCAAATATTGATGGGACAGATAAGACTACAATGGAAAACAAAGGAAATTATGACTACTTCAAGGTTAGAGGATAAGAGCAGGGTTTACATTAATTTATTTATGTCATGGAAATTTGTACTCTTGAGGGAAAGTGTCAGAGGCCCCACGATCTACATAGCTGGCCTATTGTACATATTGTACAAAATTGTACATATTGGCCTACTATAGCATTAACATTATAGTCTAAAGTAGATGGATTCTCAGAAATTGTGGAGATCAGCCATTCTGTCACATATCTTCTAAGGCCCGACCAGAATCCCCAGATATCTACAACCTTTCTCGTATGTTCCTTTTCTTCATACTGCCAAGCATATGAGATGATGCTAATGCTGATGCAGATAGATCATACACTTCATTGATCATGTCCAAATGGAATCACAATTGAGGACAGAGGAGGGGACCACAGCACAGTCAACATCAGCAAATCTATGACCCTTGATCCCCCCACAAACACTTAAGACTCTATACTACCTGATAGAGTACGACTACTATACTAATCTGATTACTGATTTACTCTGAATAATACAATTAGAGGAAGTCCAGGAATGGTTCAAAAGTTGATATCTCAGACAACTAAGCAGGTTGGAAAGCCACCTCATCATATTCATGATGAAGAGAGGCTACGGCAAGTCTGCAATCGTTGGAGGATAAGTCGACAACCACCTGTGGAAGAAGAAAACAACAACACAGTAGATGATATTTCATGATACGATATGACATTTCACTTGCCCATGGCCCTCATTCTCCTAACTTGCAGACCTTCCTTGGGGCCAGTATTTCTGACACGAACGACTACGTCCAACCAAGCAACCTTCTGCTAGTGCCCAGTCCAACCTTTTTAAAGTTCATTTATTTATTTTGAGAGAGAGAGAGAGGGAGAGAATGAGAATCCCGGGCAGTGTCTGCACCGTCAGGGCAGGTGCTGGGTCTGATCTTAACTCTGCGGCTGTTAGTGGCAAAACAGAATGCAAAGGGCTCCGAACATGAAAGACGGGCTTAAGTGTTCTTTATGCTTTGAACCGCTCAGTAAAACTTAAAGAGGTAAATGTACAAATGGCGGAGAGTACCCTAAAACGCATTCTGAGACCCCTGGATCATAGAAACTCACTGAGGTCACATAGCAGCAGACAGCGCTGCATCCAAATGCAGACAGCAACACCGAGATGATGAGTCCCAGGATTATGAGGACCAGCTTCATAATCATAATCCCCTGCAAATTAAAATCATGCGGAGAGAAATAATTAAAGGCCTGAGCAAGGGAGCCCCTGCCGTGGACCCTACATGCTGTCCTTCATAACCAGTGGACATATTGTCAAGGGGAGTCTGGGCAGACACAATCTGGGTAGAGATACACATGACTCTAAGTTACAGATACAATCTGGGCAGAGATACACATGACTCTAAGTTACAGACTCCCAAATGTGTAATTTCACTCAGCTGTAATTTTCACACAAATGAAGTGAGATCCTGTGATCCACTTTCTTCCTTGATATGACCCACTGATAAAAAGCCTGCTCATTTGCAAACCATTCCTTATTGAGGTGTCTACAAATTGGAGTGTTTTAAGATCCCTTTATATCTCATAGTGATTTTCACCATATGATCAGTAGATCAGTGTCGGTTTTGTTAAACATACTCTCTAGAAAGGATCCTGGACTTTGTCTGTCATTGTGCTGAACAGACTCAACATCTAGGCTTTTCTTTACCTTGATGAAGACAGCAATGACAATCATTGATTGAGTTCGTTGACACCCATTCTGATTTTATCTAAAATAAGGGATTTACTTAGCTTCACCTGATGTACTTAAATCCTAACATTACCAATAATGTGTAGTACAGAGATATTTATTCACTCAAGGTCAAAGCCCTGTCTTTCTTCAGATAATTTATCAGTTTTAAGCTATGTCCTATTGCCCAATTGTCTTTTTTGTTTTTCAAAATTTTGTTAAACTTATTTTATTATTTGTTTTGAGAGAGAGAGAGAGAGAGAGAGAGAGTACACACGTGAATTATGGAGGGCCAGAGAGAGAGAGAGAGGGGAGAGAGATAATTCCAAGCAGGCTACACACTGTCAGCAAGGAGCCCAATGCGGGGTTCGAACTCATGACCTGAGCCAAAGTCATACACTTAACAGACTGAGCCATCCAGGCACCCCCTTCTCCCACTGCCCCCTTGAGATGAAAAGGACACCTGCAAGGAATTTTATATATGTGGGTAAATATCAGGAGATATTTTTTCCACTGGATCTTTCAATACTTACAATTATGAAATAACGAACTAAAGCTGATCCTGAGAAGAAGTAATTGGAGTTGTCCATTCTGATTGCAAGGATTATTAGCGACACTCCAGCTAATATGGCAGCCACAGTGTTCATTCCAAGGCTGCCACAGACCTGAAACAGAATCAGAAACGGAGTCCCTGTTCTTACCTCCTCAACTCTGGCAAATGATTGTACATATGCATGCATTATATTTAAAAGGTAAGTAAAATTGGAATTCTTCAAAATTATGCCCAAGGTTACTATCTACAACTGCATAATGTCTCATCTGAGCCAGACAGAGACAACATGGCCTATGGTGAATAGGAAAAGAATCATTCTGGAATCTTAACTCAAGGCAAAGAAAAACCTGGGAGTCTGAGACAGCTTGATCATTCTGGAAACAAAGGCTGACTTAAATTCTTTTAATGTTTATTTATTTATGAGAGAGAGAAAGAGACAGAGCATGGGTGGGGGAGGAACACAGAGAGAGGGAAATACAGAATCTGAGGCAGGCTCCAGGCTTTGAGCTAGCTGTCAGCACAGAGCCCGACGCGGGGCTCAAACTCACAAAGCTGAGATCATGACCTGAGCTAGAGTTGGACACTTAACCAACTGAGCCACCCAGGTGCCCCCAGAAATGAAGGTTGGTTTTAATTTTCTGAAATTGTAGGTAAACGCACCATTTTTTTTGTTGTTTTCCTTCCCGACGCAATAGACATAGTTCCAGAAACGATTAACTGTACAAAGATGAAGTTCAATGAGTTAGTCTGTGAGTGTATTCTCATTCTACAATATTTCTCCCTAACACCAAATATTTCTCAATAATTTCCCCCAAATTTTGTGTCTATTTATAGATGATAACTATTAAAGATTTTATGTATGTTCTAAATAATACAGAAATCAATCTACTTACAAAAATTGGTCCCAAAAGGAAAATGAAGGTATATACAGTGCTCTCTAGGAATATATATTGTTTGTGGAATGAAAGAAAGACCTTCACCATAATCCACAGACAAATATTCATTAGGCCAATCATGATCTGCGTCACCTAGAAAATGAGAAAGTGTCTCTAAGTTAGGAGGAATCAGCTTTACTCTTAGAATTATTTGCCCCGCATTTGGAGGTTGTAAATGTCTCAGGATTACTTTAATTTGGGGTATTCCACAATCAGTACCTAAATTTACATTCAGTGTTCCCAAATGTACATATAAAAAAAACAGTTTGGTGATTTGGCTAAATGGTGTATGTGGTCTCTTATTTTAAAAGTCCTGGGGTGCCTGAGTGGCTCAGTCAGTTAAGCGTCTGACTTGAGTTAAGTTCAGGTCATGATCTTGCAGTTTGTGAGTTCGAGCCCCACATCAGGCTCTCTGTTGTCATCAAGTGGAGCCTGCTTTGGAAATTTTGTCCCCTTTTTTCTCTGCCCCTGTCACTCTTGTGCACTCTTTCTCTCTCTCTCTCTCAAAAATAAACATACATTAAAAAAAAAAAAAACAAGTCCCATAGTCCTCTTGATATAGGAATTACTGTGACCACTCCACACTTTTTAGGTAATTGCATGGCTTTGACCTAGAGCAAATTTAGGAGAATGTGAGCCACCTCAAAATCCTTAGATGACCTTCATTGTACTTACCCCAAGAATAACTGGCTCCCCCTTTAAGAAATTCTGCAGATTGTTCGGTGCCTCCTGAGGGAAAGGCAATGGCCTGGACTGGCCCAGGTACATGGCTGGATATCGTTGTTGAAAATCCATAATTGTATCCTTTGATGATGTTTCTCTCACAACCTGTGGCGCACCCTGCTGGGGGTGTTGAGTCACAATACAAGTGAAGCATGTGTTGGCCAGAGAGGTCAGGTAAAAGGATTAGTCTCTTTGATTCCATGCAACAGTTAATGCACATAAATACTTGAAGTAAAAGATAGGTACTGTGCTAAATGCAAGAAATGAGACCACACAGAGCCACTTAAAGTGATTTTTACAGTACAATACTGTAAGTGTATTTTCTATTCCTTATGATTTTCTTATAACATTTCCTTCAGTTTTACTTTATTGTTTACTTTATTGTAAGAATGTAGTATATAATACATGTAACATAAAATATATTTGTTAATTGACTGTGTTATTGGTAAGGCTTCTATTCAACACTAGGCTAGAAGTAGTTGGGTTGGGGGAGATTTTTTACTGTGAGGGGGCACCCTGAACAATTACTTTCAAATGGAAAATGGGTAGGGAAAAGCCATACACAAAGTAAACTAGTATTTAGATGTTACATTTGCCTAAGGATCCAAGTGGAAATAGAAGCATTTGTGTTTGATGCAGCCACTAATCTTTTATATAGAATTGTTCCATGATATTCTCACTTTACTCTTACCCTTGTTTCAGTGATAGTTATTGAACATTGTCTTCTCACATTGAACATCTCTGTTGTTATTACCAACAGAATGTCTGTGTTAGGTATGGAAATAAATGTGTATTTTTTTCTTATATCTTGATAACATTATAATAGTATGATACTAATTTACTTTTTTAAAATAGTTTATTGTCAAGTTGGTTTCCATACAACACCTAGTGCTCATCCCCACAAGTGCCCTTCTCCATGCCCATCACCCCCCTTCCCCTCTCCCCCACCCCCATCAGCCCTCAGGTTGTTCTCAGCATTCAAGAGTCTCTCATGGTTTGTCTCCCTCCCTCTCCCCCACTATTTTTCTCCTTCCTCTTCCCCATGGTTCTCCGTTAAGTTCCTCCTAATCCTCCTATACGTGCAAAGGTATGGTATCTGATTTACTTTTTAAAAAACCTTTAATCTTGTTCCTTATTATTAATCATATCTGAAGCAAAAATATCCTGTTTTTCTGAACAGACTGTGACTCACTGTTCATGATGGTAGAGCCAACATTTTTAAAAATACTTTTTTATCGATTCCTGATTTACAAAGCAGCCTTTAGAACTGAGTGTCCACTCAAATCCGTATACTTCTTCTCAACAAGAGTAATGATTATACAGATCATTACAGATCAAGAATATCTTCTTTTTGGATCAAAGTTCTTTTATTGACCAAAAATATCAAAAGTAATCATTCGTTACAGAAAGTTGGATAAGGCAGCATTAAAAGAACTAGCTAGCCAGACTTAGGGAACACTGGAAAAGTACTCTGTGTTGCAAATTCTAGATAGAATATGATTTTTAGACCACTTTTTCTCTGTCTTTTGAAAAGGATTACGTGGCTGAGATAACTTCAAAGCACAATCTGAAAAAATTTTATGGGTCTTTAAAACTGCATTAAGGAGTGCCTGGGTGGCTCAGTTGGTTAAGCGTCCAGCTTCAGCTCAGGTCATGATCTCACAGTTTGTGAGTTCAAGTCCCACATTGGGCTGTCTACTGTCAGCACAGAGCCCACTTTGGATCTTCTGTCCCTCACTCTCCTTCTGCTCCTCCCCCATCATGTGCACTTGTGCTCTCTCTCTCTCAAAACTAAACATTAAAAAAATTAAAAATAAAATTGTACCATTAAGTTTGTTGCTAGAGAGTCAAGCATATTTTTTTTATGGGAAAAAAAATGCCCTCAGACATTTATGTCTTCTCAAATAACTAGTTCTACAAAAAGAGCTTTCATAATATTCTTCTCCTCCTCTGGCTTCCTCTTGTGGAACAATTCCAGGAAAACTTGGGTAAGTCTTAGGGACTGGCACGGAATTAACATGACCCCTTACAAGCCAATGGAATAGCCACTTAAATAAGAGTAAAAGAAAAATACATACCTCTGTCCTCAAACAACATTGGGTCTTAACTAGATATCTGTCAAGTTACATCAGTCCAAAGAGTCCGTCTCAGAGTACTTCCAAGGAAGCTCCCCAGAGTAGCAAGCAGTCTACGATCCGTGTATGTTATCAGGCACTACAGACTGTGGGAATTTGATATACGTAGATTTTCCTCAACAAAACAGAACTCCCTGTTGTATGAAGAGATAATGAAGCCTCACCCTAAAAGGCATCTTTCTGTGCTGTGTTTCTTGCAGATGGGTTTCTCTGATGGTGAAATTGCATGATGTTGACAGAGATAATCCTTTATCTCTGCTGTTCAGATAGCCATGGTTTTGAGTGCCAAAGCTTTGCACACTCTTCTCTCATTGTGAGGCCAAATCTCAATCCATATTTACCCGTCTCCTCCCGAAGACCTTTCTAAAGAAGGATGTGGTTGGGGAGATATTTTGATTTACAATTCAATCTTAATTTGTCCGTAGAAGTCCTCACCTTTGATAGAAAATATGGGATTTTTCCATAAATATGAGAGTTTTACCCTCTTTGCTTACAAATGATACTTTGTATGTTTCATTAACAAGGCTCGTTCCTCTACAGTGACTTTAGTTTTCTTACTCCCATTTCTACTACTTGACAGATAATCATAGGAAAATAGCACACAGTATTTATACAGCCTATGCCAGGAAATCCAAAGATGGAAGTAATGTGCTATTTGCCCGTATCTCTGCAATTATATTTTCAAAAACTATAAAGGAGCCTTTGTATATTCTGTAGCCTTGGCTAAATTATCCTTTAACTTAGAAAGTAGAAATATAACATCCTTTGGAGTCTATGGTTTCCCTGGGTTCTTGCGTGGGACCTGCCCATGGGTTCCCGTCATGAGTGATGGAGAATCTCACTGTTCCACAGCCCCACCCCCTTCCTGCAAGGCATAAGCATTTAAGGTAAAGCTTCTAAAGGGAAGAGAAGATGTTCTCTTCCTACCCTTGTGTCTGGAAATAGCCGTATAAAAGAAGGGTTAAGTGTCTCTGTTCTTGTTAGCTTCTGTTTCAAATCCATCAAAAGGAATGCTTTGCCTTTTCTTCGTGAATTTTCACGTCGTTCTTGCGCACTGGCCATGCTAATCTTCTGTATACGGCTTCAATTTTTGTACCTGTGCTGAAGTGAGTCCTGCTCTGCCTTTTCTTAACCTGAAGATTTTTCAGTATATTCCTAATTTGCTGAAAAGCTCTATTATGAAAGGAGTTTGACCTCTTTCAACAGCTTTTTTCCCCACCTACTGTGATGACCATACGGTTTCTTTCCTTTACGCTGTATTCAGAGGTGTCAAACAACCTGGTGCATAAAGCAGTTTGGTTATGAAGTATATTTTTTTAATATATATTTCTGGGTTTAATTTATTAATATTGGTAAGGATACATGGGTCTAAGCTCATGTAAATATATCCATATTTTATTTTCCTATATTTTTTATCCATATTTTGGGGCAGGAGAGCTGGTTGCTGCTTGCCTCAACAATAAGCTCTAAAGTGTCTGCCTTCAGCTCAGGTAATGATCTCATGGTCTGTGGGTTCAAGACCTGCATCGGGCTGTCTGCTGTCAGCATGGAGCCTGCTTTGGATTTTGTCCCCCACTCTCTCTCTGCCACTCCCCTACTTGTGCGCTCTCTCTCCCTCTCAAAAATAAACATTCTTTAAAAAGCTCTAAAGTTTTTCTTCCTCTTCTATTTTCAGAAAGGGTTTATGGAATACTGGTACTATTTCTTCATTGAGGGTTTGATAGGATTCACGAGCAAAGCTGTCTCCACACAATCTTCTCTGCGTGACAAGCCTTCAGTTACAAATTCAATTTCTGTTCATGACACAGGCCTGTTTATATTAATTGGGGTCCTCTAGAGAGGCAGAAGCAATGGGATGCACTGATGTGGCCAGTGACATCTATTATAAAGACTTGGCACGGGTGATTATGGAGACTGTGAGAAGTTCCAAGTGGCAAATCGGAGCCCAGAGAGCCAACGTATAGTTTGGGTCCAAGTCCAAAGACCTGGAAAACCAGGGAGCCTACTACAAGGTATGATGTTAAGGGCAGGTTTTATTTTTAATTAATTATATTTTGCTGCTATTTATATTCTGTGAAGAAGGCATCAGAAAAATCACACTCTGGCACAGATGGCCTATTGCATAATTCCAAACAGCATTCACAGTATGGTGTGAAGTGAATGACTTTCCAGAAATTGTACGGATCAGTGGTCCTGAGGCAATACCCTGCGGGAACAGACAAGTGTCCTGACTCTCCCAGACTTCCTGGTATGTCTCTTTCTTCCTTGTTAAGAAGGCTCCGACACAATGACAGTCCTGATGGTGTAAACACTATATACGTAATTCATTCTGTTCAAAGGTAATATGTTGATGGAAAGAGTAGGTGACTAGCAAAGTCAGCTTTAACAAACCTATGACCCTCATAGTTCTGAGGACACTTCAGGCCTCTTTGCTGTGTAGACATGAATATATTTTCAAGAACACAAACTAGAATAAATCCGAGACTTGCTCATGGAAGAGATATGTCAAGCAACTTAAGTGGGTTGGGAAGCCACATCATCATAATCGTGATATGGAGATGTTAGAGAGGGTCCACGCTCATTGGAGAGTAAGTCAACTACCATCTGTGGAGAAATCAGGACATGCAGCAGATGAGCATATGGTATGTCTTTTGCCCATGACCTTAGGTCTCCCAGAGTCCTGTGGATTCTTCCTGGGGTTACTTTTGTCTTGTTCTCATTGAAACATCTACACCTACCTAGGCACCTCCTCAATGTGTGCCCGGTCTAATCTTTCGTGTGTGGATCCCAGAGGCAAAACTGAGGGGCTTCTCACACAGATGTGTGACGTGAAACAGGGGCCCAAGACTTTTATATGCTTTACATGCCTAACAACGGTAAATATAAAAATGGCAGAGAATGTCCCAGAAAACATTCCAAGTCCTCTGAACCCCAGACATTCACTGAGATCACATCATAGCAGGCAGCACTTGCAACGAAATGTAGAGTCACCCAGATGGTCAGTCCAAGGGCAAAAAAGATTAGCCTCAGAATCATAATCTGCTTCCAATTAAAATCATGTATAGAAAAAGGTTCTGGGGTGGGGGGGCACCTGGGTGGCTCAGTGGTTGAGTGTCTGACTCTTGATTTTGGCTCAGGTCATGATCGCACGGTTTGTGAGTTTGAGCCCCTCATCAGGCTCTGAGCTGGCAGCGTGGAGCCTGCTTGGGATTCTCTCTCCTTCTCTCCCTGCTCCTCCCCTGTGCGTCTCTCTCTCTCAGGATAAATAAATTTTTTAAAAAAACCTTTAAAAAAAGCAAAAGTTTACAGGATTGAGCAAAATGAGTTTCTGCCATTGACCCTGCTTGCTCTCATCCATAAATGATTGGCATACTCTCATCCATGATAAAATGTCCCACCCTGGCTTCCTCTGCAGATAAAACATAAGTAACTATGCAGCATAATTAACCACTATATCATACAGACACTCTGATTTGCAGTTACACTCACAAAATGGCATGAGCTCCTGTTATATGTGTTTTTCCTGATATTACTAACTAACATGAAAAGCCTGTTGATTAGCAAACATTGCTTTATTGAGGTTTATGTACTTTGGAGTATCTTCACAACCTTTTTGCAGTTCATAGTAACCCTGACTGTGTCCTCAGTGTATCAGTGCAGAATAGGCTCTATGTGACGTCTGTAGAGAGAATCTTGGGCTTTGTCTACCATTGTTCTGAAAGGAACAAAACATCTAAACTTTTCATTGTTTACCTTATGGGGACAGGAATCAAATTCATTGAATGAATTCATTGGCGTTCATTCTTCTTTCGCCTAAATTAAAGTTTTAGTTAGCTTTACCTGGTACGCATGTCCACGTGACCATAACTTACAGCACAGGGAAATTTATTCATTCAGGGTCAAGGCCCTGATTTTCTTGCTTCAAGTTGTCTTTCAGTGGTAAACTGTGCATTTCTACCACCTGCAATAAATTTTGGAAGTCATTTTGTGTATGTGGAAAAATACCAAGAAATCATTTCCCTGGATCTGGAAGTCCTCACAACAAGGAACAAATCACCTAATATGTTTTGTATGTCATAAATGAATCTGCCCAAACTGACAGCAAAGGCTACAAGCCATTCCCCTGCTAATATGTCACTCACAGTATTCATCCTAAGCCTGCATATATCCGAAAGAGATTCCAAAACTGTGTTCTTATTTCACGTTCTTTAAACTGACTAACGATTACACACGTGTGTGCACTACATTTAAAATAGAATGAAGCATCATGAATTGAAATTCATGAAAAGTTATGGAAGAATTTGCTATCCTCTACAATGGATTTTTTCCATGTATTATAAGACAGAAAAGAATTCTGGGGAGTTCTTGTGGAAACAATCACCCCAGAACCTCAACTCAATGCAAAGAGACACCCAAGAAGCTGAGACAGCTTGGCCTTTTTGGGAACAGAGATTGATCTATTCTGTGACTTAATTTTCTGAAGCCATAGAAGGACTAGCCATCTTTTTTGTAATTTCCTTTCCCAACACATAGATAGAGTTCCAGATATACTTAACTGCATATAGGAATAGAGTGAAGTGAGTCAATCTATGAATGTATCTTCTGTAATTTTTTCTCCTAGCATTGAATGGTTCTCAATTCTCAATAGGTTTCCCCCAAACTCTGTGCTCAAAAAGAGCATATGAAACAAATATTAAGAATGTGTACATTGTCTAGAAAAATCAGAATGATTCCAATTTACTTACAAAGATTGGTTCCCCAAGGAAAATGGAGGAATTTTCAATTGCAGGCATAGAGGCGGAATACAGAAAAGAAGGCTTTTGCCGTAATCCACAGGCAAACGATGAAGCCAATCATGATTTGCTCACCCAGAAAATGAGAAAGTGCCTTCCTCTTAGGAGGAAGAAGTTTTACTATTTGCAAATTGATTGCCTCATGTCTGAAGGAGGCAGATAATGCAGAGCTCCTATAATTTGGAGAAATTTTTTTCTAAATGTCTAAATTTTATTTTATCTATTTATTTTTAATTTTTTTCTTTAACAGTCATTTATTTTTGAGAGACAGAGACAGAGCACATTCAGGGGAGGGGCAGAGAGGAAGACGCAGAATCCAAAGCAGGCTCCAGCCT